CAAGGACCACTGGAATTCTTGTCTGCACATAATTCCCTTAGGCACCAACCAGGTTTTAACTCATTTCATTCTCCACCTGACTTGGATTATCTTCATGTTACTTTACAAAGTGACTGGCTCTCTCAGCCTTACAGCTATAAGCTACTCGCACAGTAATTTATTGACAGCAGCATTCCCGGGGGTTTCGTTCTGTGAATGTTTTGAACCATCAGGGTTTTCTTTCTTCCTCCATTTCTTAGAGCCTCTGGGATTGTGCATGACACCAACAGAACACATCTGCTTCCTCCCTGCTAGTCTAGTCAGTCAGGCCCACAGATGAATTTTATACCATCTTCCAAACTCAGCTCTGTGCTTCATTGCACGCTTAGTATTTGCAAGATGATTTAATGCAGCAGGAGATACAGAACACTGGGAAGTTTCCTGGCTGATAAAGCAAGTGACCACTGCTTTGCAGTAGCCATAAAACCGGTCTTCATTGTACTCATTTAGCACAGACTAATAGTTTTAATTTCAACTGTAACAGCCAGTCATATGTCCATGTCTATCATGCTGGTTGTTCCCTGTGAACAGTGGCTATAAACCAAGTGATGCTGGACAAAGTTCAAGCCAACCATCCATCTAGATGAAGCTGCAGGGGGAATGAGACTTGTCAGAAGCCAATGAATTTGCATGGATTTGTAAGTCATCAAATTCTCTGGAAACAGACTAACTTTCTATCACAGTACAGTGTTTATTGCTTTGTTGCCTGCCTTGAAAAGGGACCGTTCCAGGATGAGCATGCCATGGAGCTGGTATCAATGGCTTTCCAGGATTCGTGCCACATGGACGGTCACAAGCATTTCATCGCTGGGACAAGTCCATGGGCAGCAGAGCTCTTGACATTTTCAATGAACTGCAAGACTCCTAGCCGATCACACGCTAACCAAATCGATCCTGCTTTCACCCAACCGCATCAAAGTGGTTTGCAAAATTAAAACAAGATGATATCCCAGATAGAGGCTTTTTAAAAAATAAAATAAAAGCATGGCAGTCTGTGCTCATCAGCTGTCAGGAACTCCCGATCAAGTTGCACAGTTTACAAATAAAGAGGTTTTCTCACAGCCAACCATGTAAACAGGTAAACTGGAGTCTTTCCGGCTTATGCATTACCATCCCCCCCCCACACACACACACATTCTGTGGGCTGAACTCTGCATGGGGGCTTGATTGTGCTGGAGCAGCCCGTCACCCCTGGGTACAAGTTAACCATGACCCGTAAACATCACCCCTTAAAAGTGATTCTTACAGACTAACTGGCTCCCCATTAACAACCCTACTTTTAGGTAAACTCTAACTTAATTTCTATCTCCTCTGTAGCTTGTAGCTCTCATACAGTACTAGGTATGTTAAATGTACAGTAATCAGCTAATCAAATAGTCGATGTCTATCCAGTCCCTGGCCTCATTAAGGACTTGGATAACAGTAGAGACTATGCTCATACAACGTGCAGAGGACACCAAGTTGGGAGGAGCTACGAGTAATTTAGGGTACAGGTTTAAAACACAAAACGACTTGGACAAATTGGAGAACTGGTCTGAACACAACGAGATGAAATTCAACAGAGAGAAGCGCAAAGTACTTCATTTAGAAAGGAAAAATGAATGACACAATGGGGAATAACTGGCTAGGCAGTACTACTGCTGCACGGGATCAGGGGTTAGAGTGGACCAAACACTTATACGAGTCATCAATGTGATGCCAATGCAAAAAGGCAAACATGACTGTGGGTGTCTGCACGCAATTGGCGCGTGCAAGACGCAGGAGATAATTGTATTGCTCTACTTAGTATTGGGGAGGCACCCGATGGGAGTTGTGTGTCCAATTCTGGGCACCACAATTTAGGAATGATGTGAACAAACGCAAAAGACTCCAGAGGGCAGCCACAAAAATGATAAAAGGGTTAGAAAACCTGACCTCTGAAGATGTTTAGTCTTGAGAAAAGAAAGCTGAGTGAGGCAGCTGACAGCAGTCGGGCCATTATAAAGAGGACAGTGATCAATTGTTTTCCATGTCCATGAAGGTAGGACACGTAGTAATGGGCTTAATCTGCAGTAAGGCAGATCTACGTTCGATAGGGAAAACGTTGTTAGTTATTAGAGTAGTTAAACCTCAGAATAGGTTTCCAAGGGAGGTTGTGGAAGTTTTTAAGAACACCATTCAGCTTGGGTCTAAATGTTCTCCACTGGGGACTTTTCTTGTGCCCACGTCTCCTGAGCAATGATTTAGGGCAGGGGTAGGAAATAATTTTTAATGGGGGCCACGCCAAGGTTTTGGTAAGCAGTCAAGGGCCACACTTCTGTGGAGGGGGCACAGGGTCTGGGACAGTCAGTGGAGTAGAAGGGAGTTTGGCTGAAGAAGGAGGTTGTGATCTGGGGCAAGAGCTTAGGGTGTTGGGTCCAGGAGGGGTTATGGGTGCAGGAAAGGATTCTGGCCTGGGGGAGAGGATTTAAGAGGGGGTGCAGGGTCTGGGAGGGAGTTGTGACCTGGAGGAGGTAGGGAGAGGGGAGAGAGAGGGTTTGGGTGGTGGCCTGGGGCAGGTAGTTGGGAAGAAAGGGCAGGGTGGGGGGGCAGAAGCTCTGGCTGAGAAGCTCTTACCTAGGTGGCTCCCAGGCAGCAGCTCTGCAGGAACTCTGCCTGTGTGCTGGGTGGGCTACTCCATGCAGCTCTGCTCCAGCACAGGGAGAGGGGAGTGAGGAGGCTTCATTCACTGCTCCTGCCTTCAGCAAAAATTCTCATCTCCTATTGGCTGGAAACTGGCAAATGGGAGCTTAGGGATTTTGCTAGAGGGCAGGGACATCGCAAAGATTTCTCGCTGCCCAGTTTGCAGAGCAATTAGCAGCCTGATGTTTAAAGTGGATGCAGCTGCTCTTTAGTAAAGAGTGCGGGTGAGGTGGCTGCAGGCCGGATCTGGAGGCTTAGCCTCCTCTTGCCCATGCCTGATTTAGGGGGAAGAGAGGGAAGCAGAAGCCCCTTCCCCAGGGTTGTCAGCAAGATTTGGACTCTTCTCTGAAGCTACAAATGCCAGAGGAACAGGTGGCCTGTGAGTACTCCCCACCCAGGGGCAGGGGGCTTTCAGCTTCAGCCCTGGGATGGAAAGCAGCAGGCTCTGGCCATGGGCTTCGGTATCAGGCCGCAGCCACGTGCTCACCACCCCCACATTGTCGTTGGACCTCACTAGCTACCTCTATATTCAGGACTTTATTTGTCCTGCAGTTTGCAGGGGGAGAGCCTTTGCCTGAAAAGTAGCATTTGTATGTTTGTTGAGATCACTTTTCACTGCCTCCCAGCTAGCTAGCAGGTCTGATGCTGTGAAAAGTGATGTTAACAAACATGCAAGTATCACTGTTCACAGCAGCAGCTATACTAGCTAGCAAGTCTAATAAAAAAGGCACCACAAATGGCAACAAAAGACAAGAATGCACAAAGCATCTTATCGGTGTTTCTATTCTGTGTAGGCCCAGTAAAGAATAAAGACAACTGTACATTTTTTTATTATTAAATTTGCAAAAAAGAAAACTAAGTTACAACAATTTGGATGTGAATATGGGCACATTTATTTGTTTTTCCTAGAATTACGCACTTTAAGAAAAATTGCCAGTGGTTGCACTGAGGGCACTAAACATTTTGTTGCGAGAACCCC